GTGTTTAATTTTGAACTTAATTCTTATTCCATTTTCTGAGTGATCTATCCCAGTTTATTAAGCTGTTGCACAATATGGAAAGCTAACCTAATCCTTCCCAGGAACAAAATCATAGGGCTCTGAAAATAGACAAGTTCACATCTGTATTCAACATAAAAGCTCTAAACAACCATGCACTTACTAGCTAAATCTCTGGGTTTCCAAGCAAGTTCAATTCTGTTAATCTCAAGAAATGTTATGGACTGAATTGTGTCCTTCTGCCCCTAGGTTCATATGTTGAAGCCCTAACCTCTACAGCTTCAGAGTGTATTTGAGATGGGACCTTTAAAGATGTGAATAAATTCACCTAAAACATTTTACATATAAAAACAGATTTATGAATAAGGACCTTTATTATCAAATTTGTAATAGTTGAAAAAATAGATAAACTTAAATGCTGAATATGGGATGCATGTTACTTGATGGAATATATGTAGCCATTAAAAAGGGTGTTCATAAGTAGTTTGTAATAATACTGAAATGTTTTTGTTAAAATGCTAACTGAAAAATCATGACACAAACTTATATACAGCATGGCTGAAATTATATTAGCATAAATGTCTATATAGAAAAATATGGTAAATAAGCCTGAAAGTAAATAAGCTGTGATGGAATAAAAGTGATAGATTAAATATGTATTTCAGCCTTCTTTTCTTCTCCTTCACCACTAAAAGATACTTTTTAAAGAAGGAAGAAAGGGAACAAAACCAAAGCAATACAGTAAAAAAAAAGCACAAAAAACTTTATGAAAATTAAAGATTGAGAAATTCTTGCAAGATAGATAGAGTTAACTTTCTACAGAAAGCTCCAGTTCAAAACACGTGCATGGGAGAACAGCAGTAAAAGGTGAGAGCAGCTGTAGGTGCCCCAAAGCTCAGAGGCAACAGATAGAAAGAGTAGGAGAGGCCCGGGTAATTGTCAGAACAGGGTACTTGCATTCAGAGGAGCCTAGGCCAGTGGTCTGCAAACTCATTAGTCAGCAGAGCCAAATATCAACAGTACAATGATTGAA